GAAACCCCAGGTGTACTCGAAAGGAGCCTGCCAGGAAATGAATGAGCCAACTGAAGGTGTTCTGGGTGAAACGTTCTTATCACGAGACTTCAGTGCATGCTCTGTGTCCCACTTACGTGTGCGATAAGCCACCAAGGCGTTCATCAGTCTGAGCCGTTTACTGAAAAAGATACGGGGGCTCGAAGCTTTGAGTCAGTGCCAGGTGAATCAATAAAGCCAGGAGCTATTATTGCATTTGCTGAGCCAGTTCGTTCAGCAAACACTGCCCGAGCAACCAGCCCACACCAGACACAAAGCATACGTGACCCGATCGTTCATTCTCCTACCTAACGATTTGGGGGCAGCCATGTGAACAAACGGGAAAACTAGGGGATTCTGTGTCTGTACAAGGTGTGGATGGGGCAGAAAAGTGAGAACTCCAATATTCCCCAGGGGACTTCATGCTTGATTTGAACCCTACGAGTCGTATTGAGTATTGTCTGTTAACGGAGAAGGGCCCTTTGGACAGAGGGATTTCGGACAATCTGGTCCATGAGAGGAGCTCCCAGCAGCTCAGAATGGCCAGAGTGCACAGACGAAGCCAAGTGTGGCGAGAGAGAGCTTTAGAATGAGAGGTGCCTGGACAAATCTAGCAAAGACAAGGCCTGACAAGAGCCCAGTGGCTCTTCGAGGCCCCAGGGTAGTGAGTTTGGCCAGGGCTGCCTAAGAGAGTGGAGGATAACAGTCCGTGGTTGTCAGGAGCTGAGCAGTGCAGGTGATTGCAGGCCCAGATGATTATGCATAGGGTACGAGGTCTATCTGAATGCAGCCTGAGATCACTATACATTCTCTGCGTGATGCAGACGGGCCACCCTCACTATTCAATGCTGCTCAGTGCCACGGGGACACCCACAGTGTCCTGGGCGTGTGGTATGCGTGTTCTCTAAGTAATAGAGCCATATAACTATATTCCTTTATCCCTTGGGAAGTAGAGAAAAGAAAAGAAAAAAACACCACTGTTCCACCCCTTAAGGCAGTCACTGTAAGAATTTTGGTGAATATTTTTCTAGTTTTTTATTTTTTTTATCACTGTGTGTGTGTTTATGTACCGATGATAAAATTTTATCTTGCACAGAAGCAAGTCAAAAGTTTTCACCTCTGTTCTCACTGCCATCATTTTAATTCATGTAAGAGGATATCCAGTTCATTTCTAAATTTTTACTCTTTTTTTTTTTTAAGATTTTATTTATTTATTTGACAGAGAGAGACACAGCGAGAGAGGGAACACAAGCAGGAGGAGTGGGAGAGGGAGAAGCAGGCTTCCCGCAGAGCAGGGAGCCCGATGCGGGGCTCATTCCCAGGACCCCGGGATCATGACCTGAGCCGAAGGCAGACGCTTAACTGACTGAGCCACCCAAGAGCCCCTATAAATTTTTACTCTTAAAAAAAAAAAGATCACTTTCGTGTAGATGTTTTTCCCAACATTTGAGTGATTTCCAGAAGAAAGATTCCAGAAGCTGGACTTCAGTGGGTCGAAGTATATGGACACTTCTGTGGTCCTTTATCCATGTGACCTCTAGAGATTGATCCCAATTAACACGACCACCTGCACTTTCACCAGCAGTAGATCAATATGAAAACTTTAAAGACCGTTTTTTTTTTTTTTTAAGATTTTATTTATTTATTTGACAGAGAGAGACACAGCGAGAGAGGGAACACAAGCAGGGGGAGTGGGAGACGGAGAAGCAGGCTTCCCGCCGAGCGGGGAGCCTGATGCAGGGCTCGATCCCAGGACCCTGGGATCATGACCTGAGCTGAAGGCAGACGCTTAACGACTGAGCCACCCAGGCGCCCCTAAAGACCGTTTTATTAGGTGAAATGTTTGTGTTTCCCTGCTTGCTGGTGAAATCCAAAGCCATCCCATACGTCTGTCTCACAAGTCATTTGTCTCTTTTGGGAACTGTCTGTTCATATCATGCCTATGCCGTGGGGTCTTCCTCCTTCTTATTGATGTCCCCAACCTCTACAAATCTGTGCAGGTTTCGCTCCCTGTCTTCTTTTTTGGCTCTTTTGTCAAATGCATGAAATATTGCCATATAGTCCGACGCGTGTACCTGCCGCCCCTTGGTTCCTTCTTTCAAAATGCAGTTGGAGGGTTGTCTGCTGCTCCTGTGGATGGACTTGGAAGCCCGTCCACCTGCCTGGCCTTTATTTCGGTGCGTGTTGTGCAGAGAGGCTCTCGGTTGTCCCCACCACCTACCACCCTGATGTCCAGACACCCTGTATCGAACAAGCTTTCCTTTATCCGTTGGTTTGTGCTGCTGGTAAGGCTCGGTGGATCCAGTTACCAGTGCAGAAGATGACGGGAATGCGATAAGTCTAGCATGGCAGGAATTCAGCCAGACGCTTATCTGGCCATCTGGACGGACTTCAGAGACACCTTCTCGGTGGGCCAGGCCTGGCTGTGTCTCCAAGGCCCTGCAGAGCCTAAGACCTCGGCCACACAGGATCAGCCTGGCGCATGCTTCGGATGTAGGCCGTGCAGCGCTGGGTGGGGAGGGGGCTTGCTCGTTCGTCCCCCGCAGAGACACACGCAAGTCCGGGCCTGAGGGAGACCGCCCTCGGGGGCTCCCACTCGTGGTGCAGACTAGGGAGGCCTGGTCCGGTGAGGGGGGGGTGTCACAATTCCGAGTGTCAGGTGCAGAAGGCTCTCCCACCAAATGGGCGTTTATGCAAAGTTTTGTTCACAAAGAGTGTAAGGAAATCGTTCCGAGCCCATGGCGAAGGGGCGGCTGACATCACGCCGCATCATCTGCCTTCCCAGAGGCCTCTGTCGCTGCAGACCCTGTGATTGTGCGGGGCGGGGAGGCTGTATGGCCCTTCTCCCCTCTGCCTGGGCTGCCGGCTGGGGCTACTGCAAGAGCAGGCTCCCGTTTTATTTGTTTATAGATCCCGAGGACCTATTGCAGCATCTGGCCGGGTCCCTGTCTGCTGCCTCCGTGGAATGAATGAGTGAATGAATCGTGGCTGAAGGTGGCTGGCTTGTCCACATCTTCCCACAGGAAAGATCCTCACATTGCTTGTAGCAACTCCTTTTATTATTTTTTTTAATTTTTAAAAATTATAAATAGCTTTTCTCTTTTCTTTTCTTTTTTTTTCTTTTAAGTAGGCTCCGCACCCAACATGGGGCTCGAACTCACGAGCCTGAGATCAGGAGTCACACATTCCCCCCCTCAGCCAGCCGGGCGCCCTTTGGTGGCGGCTCATTTTAAACCTCGTGCGTTTCTCTTTACTAAAGTCCTGGGAAAACCTTGACTTTAGTATCAGCTTACTTTAGGACTTCTTCCGATTCCAGGCTTTCGTGTTCATCAAAGACGTGTTAGAGTCACACTCTTGAGAATTCTTTGCAAACCACATTTTCAAAACCCTTACTGTACGTCGGAGCTACAGAGGAAATTCACATTCCGAAGATTTGCAAGGAAATCGACATTTCTACTGTTTCTGGTCATAGGTGAAATACTTCAGCCTTTGGTATAGAATCAAAAACATTGAGTTTACCCCTTCTTTTAACTTTTCAAACACCTGTTACAAGGTAAAACTGTTGGCTGAGAGGTTTGGGGACCGCTGGGGCCAGCTGGGGCTGGGCTGCACCTGTCTCTCTGGCTTCTTGTCCACCTGCTTCTCCCCTTCATTTTCGACCTTGTCGGCGTCCTGCTTACACGATGTTGCTGTTCACCATCTTCCTGTGGCAGATCCTCTCTTCTCTGCCCCAATATCCAGCAAATGCCCAAAAGTCACCCTTCCTGACCTGCGCAGGCCTCACCCCTCTCCCCATTCTCCGTGAAGAGTTCCCTAACCCTCTTCCCCCAGTGTATCAGTAAGCTAGTGCCATGTAGCAGAGTACCCCCAAGCTAGGGGTTTCCAACAGGAACCGTGTTCTACTGTTGGATGGGTGGGCCGGCTGGCTCCGTGGGTCTGCAGATGCTTGGCTGATGTTGGCGTGCTCCTGAGTCTACATTCAGTTGCAGAATGGCTGGAGGCTGGCTGGGCTAGGGTGTTCCCACCCACCTTTCTGGCACTGGCTGACTTTCCACTAAGGGGATGAGAGTGACCCCTGGCATCCAGCCCCCTGACCTGGGTGTGTTCTCCAGGTGACTGATGCAGTCCGGTGAGAGAGAGGGAAAGTACGCACAGATCTCAAAACTTCTGCCTCATTCTTCTGGCCAAAGCAAGGCCAGTTCCTAGGCAAGGGGAGGAGGTTTCTAGTCGACCTTTTGAGAGAAGAAGCTGCAAAGCCACATGGCAAAGAACATGGATGTGGGAGGAGGAGGGGAAGGGTGAGGGGAATGGGGCCATATTAGTGACCCATGCACCACACCCACCTTTGACAGAATGGCTTAGTCAGTACTCTTCCACTTAAATGTGCTTACACGGTGACACATTGCATCGTTTATTCATTGGAATCCTAATTCTGCAGACACATCCTGATACTTGCATTCATCTCGCCGGCATCCCAGTCGCCAGTTAATTTCCTTGGGCTGATGGGCCATCCGTCCCCTGAGCGCAGAAACAGGCAGGCTGGTACCCAGGGGTGGGAGCACCCAGGAGGGAGGGGCTCGGGCGGGAAGGGGGCGTGCTGCCCAGAATGTCGCCTGCATGTCCCGAAGGCCGGCTTAAGCCTGCAGCTGCTGTAGGGCAGGTTCCAGAGCCCGAAGGAAGCCCTGTTGCCCCGCTCCGGCTTCCCGATGCTCTTGCCCTCAGCCGGGTGTGGGCGGGCAGGTCCCGGCAGCCAAGGCCCCAGCCCTCAGCCACAATGCCAGCAATGCAGCCCCTAGAGGGTCTGCCCTGGGCCCTGCCCACACACCCGGATGTTGACAGGGGCATGGCTCCAGCATCAGCTTTAATGGGTAGTCTCATCGCTTTTAAAATAATGACCGCTGGGCGTGGGCTGGCCAGACCGCTGACATCACTTTTCCTGCAATTCGGGGTCAGTTCCTGCTGCCTTTCTCTGCATCTTTGAATGGCTGAAACAAATCTACTGGTTGGGTACGTGTCCCGGACGGTTTCTAGCATGTTCGACGCCCCGGCCGTGATGTGGTCAGGAGAGCAATAGCTTTGAAGTCAGAGGTCCTGGGTTCGAGATTCGGCCACTGTCTTGCTGTGTGAACCTGGGCTGCCCACGGGACTCGTCTCGATCCCGGCTTCCTCATTTGTGCGACGGTGGGGCAAGCCCTGCCTTTGTGAAGGAATGGCGAGGCTGAGCGGGACCTTCTAGGAGAGCTGCTACAGTCTGGGAACGGAACTGCCGGAACGGGGGGAAATGAGTGACATTCCCTTCCACTTGGGGCACCGTGGGGGGCGCCTGGCAGGGACTGTGTGGGCTTCCAGGAAGGGGCCCCTTTCTCTTGGCTCAGGGGCACACTCCGGCTTGCTAGTCCGTGTGCTCTTGGGGACACATCGGCCTGTCTTCCTGGGCACTCATGGGCCCACCTGTTCCGTCTCTGGATGTTTTCTGACCATGGACCTGGCCTCTCTGCCATCAGGTAAAGGAATGATTTTGACTTTGAATCTGTCACTATTTTAAGAGACCTTTAAATCCTAAATACATCAATGGGAAGACAGGGTCATTTGTGGGTCCCAGATCAGGATACTAGAGGCCAGTTCCGTGTTTCCTCTCCTCCCACCGTGATTTTAGCTTGAAGAGCGCCTGTGGGCAGGAGATGTTGCTTCTCATCTCTGGATCCTTGTTGGGTTTCTCCATCCTTCCACGGAAGGCCAACATTCTGGCCAGCTCTGAGTCCCTCGTGGTCATGGCCGGAAGGACAAAGCCATGTGGCAACTGTCCACGGTCCACACCTTCTCATGCTGAATGGCTTCTAAACACTGCGGTTCTCCCCAGGGTCTCCCGGGGCCCTAGGTGACAAGAGGAGGCCGGCGCTCAGTCGCGAACGGCCCCCCGCCTGCCCTGTGTTCACCTGCACTCCCTCGCGGAGGGAGCCCACCACAACTGCCCAGCGCAGAGGTGGGTGTAAAAGATGGTGGGGGTGCACCAGACCTCACGCCCCCAGGGGGGCCTGCAGGGCGCACAGACCTCCCTCGGGGCCACGGAATGGCTGCGTTCTGTCCACCCGGGTGTGAGGAGTTTGGGCAGGATTCCTTCCTGGAGCCAGTATGCACTCTTACCAAGGCCGTGGGTTACTGCTCACAGCTACGGAATGACGAGGCTGGGGCTCCGTCCTCCTGGTAGATCTGTGGGGTATTCGGTTCCATTTTGACCCAAACTTTCAGGCACTGGATTCAGAAATGCCAAACGAAGGTTTAGTTTTAGGATGTATGTGAATCAGCACCTTCCCCCCACAAGAAAAAGAATCTTACAGAAGGAAAATATTATCACGGGAAGTTTCCTGGCACAGGGGAGGAGCGGTGGTGGTCAGGGGATGATGGTGATGCGGTCAGCACTGCGGTCAGGGTCTGCATTCACCCCGTCCTTATGTCTCTGGGCAGCTCTGTGAGGTTGCTTCTGGGCCAGCCAGGTTATCCAGACGGGGCAGAAGAGCCCTAGAGAAGTCAAGCTAGTGGCCCAAAGACACACAGCTAGCCTGCAGGGGCGGGGTGGTCATGACGCTGGCATCTGGGTCTCTGCACCGCCTCTGACTCATTTTCGGTGGTGGGCAAGTGCCTGTCTGTGGCCCTCCAGGATCCCGTCTGGAAAATGAGTCAGCTGGACCCCATGGGCTCTTTCCAGCTCTTAGTACTCTGATCCCGATGACAGCAAGCTGCCAAAGAAAATGGGGCTTTGGGGGTGCCCTGTTTGTAAATGACATTTCTGCACAGCCAGAGGGCACGCGTGAACGTGATCGTCGTGCTGGAGAGTCTGCCGCGACAGGAGACGGGAGCACTGGGTTTTAATGCCAAGGAGCCGCGTGACCTGAGACAGGCTAACACTTCTGAGCCTCCGTCTCCCCACCAATGAAATAGGAAGGCTGGCCTGGATCGTCTCTGGGCCCCTTCCGGGGCTGACGCCCAGGTGAGGCCACTGACCCATCGCTTCTGACATCTGAGGGCAGGTGCCTATGCAGGACTAGACTTGCTTGAAGCCTATGTGTCTTTCCTAAGGCTTGACTGGGCTTCCTTCACATTATGTGAAAATGCTCAAACTTCTGAGAAGGACTCTGACATCAAAGCAAATGAATCTTCCCTTTGTGATAAAACCAACGTCTTCCGTCTGGTTGATAAGCTGAGGCCAGAGTTCTTGGCATCATACCTAAAGCATGTGACAAGCAAAAGGGCCACGGGCAGTGTGTGTGGTGGGGGGGCGGGGGGCGGGCGGTGGATAGGTTTTCAGTGTGGCTTTTGTTGTTTTCGGAAAGGTTTTACTTGATGTCCAACGTGGGAGGTGGCCCAGGCCTGAATCTGCAGACCCAGGGTGAGGGGCAGGGCATGTGGGGGCTGAGCGTCGTGGGGCCCTAGAATGGCACGTTTCCCGTTCGTACGCGCAAGCTAGCACGAGGACCCCGATCTCTTGTGTCGGCACCCCCCTCTCCCCCCGCTCCCACAACCGCAGGGAAGCAGGAGAGGTGGACTGGTCCCTCACCAGCCCGGAGCGCAAGCTCGGTGCCCTGAGAGAATCAGCTGTGGCTCGGAGACCCTGTCCGCCGGGGAGGACCTGGCCTGCTTCCTTCCCCAGCCCGGCCGCTAAAGGCTGGCCGCGTGCTGTGAGTCGGGGCCCGGGCAAAAGCAACACAGAAGAAGATGATTATGGGTGTTTTTAAAACCTGCCCCTTCCTGCCCAGCCGGGGACAATATTTACAAAGCAGACATGCAAACAAGCAGAACTTCTTTTCAGGTTTAAATGGCCTCGTGAGCCAGGCTCTCCCCGTGCTCGATGGAGTCCCTGCCCAGCGCCGGCTTAGGTGTTTAGAGAGCCCGTTTGCCAGTGAGCTGTGCCCACCTTTCTTCTGGTGGTTCTGGTGTGGTCAGGGAATCCGGGGCATGGTTGCTGTTGCTTGAATAAGGTGCAGGACCCTTTTAAGGGAAAACATTCTCAGGGATGTCTACTGTTGACTTAAATTACCTTTATTATTATGTTATTTAAATATGGACAGACATAACACCAGGTACAAATCCCTTCAGCTGAGAGTTCTGAAACCACTAAAAATCTAAAACAAATTTACAGGTGATAGGCAAAGAAAACTCCAGCACGAACAGAATTCAAATTATCGGCATTAACTCGATGTGCCACATCTAAACCTCTGGTGTTGGGCTTGGATACGGAGAAGCTTTATCTCTGTGTCTCAGAGCTCATTTGCTAGGGACGTGGTTTGGTGTATAAAGGACCACTGTTTGAGCTGTCAGAGATCACTTTTCCCCACTTTTTCACACTGAACTGATTTTGAGCCACTAACCCATTCTTTTATTAAGCCAGTTGCTATAAAAGGAGATCCCCCCATATCTAATTTCTTGAAAAAAGATGTCAAATGATGGTTAATAGAATATTCTTCACTGTTACATACTTAACTGCTAATTAACAATCGAATGTTGGCTTGGGCTAAGATGAAGTCTGTAAAGATAATTCTAGCAACCAGAATTATCCTGCAAAACATTTTTGGGGGAGATTGGCATGCCCATATGTATACCCGTATGTATCGTGTGATGATTTGGTTCTTCTACCACTTATTGTATTTTCTGTGAACACTTTTTAGAGGGCACTGAGACACTATTTGATCTTGACTTAGTCCCAGGTACTCACTCATGCAAATGTGGGCGGTGAACTGGGGTGCAGCACTTCGTTATAAGGTTCTCATCCCGGTGGTCCAGAACACGCATCTATAGTAGAGCTCCTGAGACTATGTCCACGGGGTCTCTGAATCCCGATTTTGAAAACTATTCTTCTGGGGGGAAGCACAAGGTAAAGGGTTACAGAGGGGAAAGAGGTCTCCCCACAGTAAGGGATGCCCAAGAGAACAGGAACCAGGAAAGGGCAAATGGGAGTGCTGTACGTATTTGATTATTTATTCCCTGCATACTTACACTGTTGGATCATCTTTTCACGCAACCTCTGGCATTTCCAGGAATCAAATCCTAAGAGGGATAAAAATTTGCCACCTTTAAGAATAGTCTCGAGAATGTGCCTTGGGCTTTGAGGGCACTCCCTCAAGAATGACCGGAGAGAGAGTGCCCAGTACCTTCAGGACGAGGCAAGAGCCACATGGAGATCTAAGTCCTGGTGTGTTTGTTTGAAACAGAGGAGCCTCAGTTCAGCACATGAAGCCAGCCCGTGGGAGTGGGGTGATGACCAACGCCAAACGATGATCAGAAACACCAAGTGCTGGGGTTTTCGGGGACAGGGTTGGGTGGCGGGCTGGCCTTGCTTGGAACAGGGGCAGAGGTGTAAAGGGCCGCAGTGAGGGATGAGTGAAATGTAGACCAGGGCCCGAGAAGCGGGCCTTCAGAGGGGAGGAGGAGCATATAAGGAGGAAGAGGAACTATATGTCTGGAAATACCCAGACAAATATCCATCCAAATTTGGGGGGCTCAGACAGCAGGCACGCATTGTGTTGTAATGAGTAGGAGTGTTTGTGGACACTGAGACATTCACAGTGGACAGTTGTCTTAGAGACTCAGAGCCCATCCGGTGGCCGTGATGTTCCTGCCCCCCACACCGGTGGTCTTCACTTAACACGTTCTCTCAAATTTCCGTCCGTGTCTTGATGTTGTGCTGATGTTGTGGAGGTCCGTGGCCTCCCCTCTGTGATGGCCGGCGTGTCCCCGAGGATTCGCCAGCCAGGATGGAGCGGCATTATCAAAGATGGAAAATAAAACCCAACAAATCCAGGCCCGTGGAAATATTACGAGGCAGGCAAGGAGGAAAGAGCGCAGCCCTGAGGAGGCAGAACAACACAGAGCGTGGCTTCTGGAGACAGAAGTAAGGGCAGCACCTGCTCGGAACCCTCTAGGGCCAGAGAAAACCAATTCTGTGAAATAAGAGCTATCGGGCTTTAATGATGCTGGAAAACACGTGTCAGGAAACCAACAAGACACTAGGCTAATTTAAAGTCAGAGGAGAACAAATTAGAGTGGAACTGATGTTGCTGAGAATTGCCACTGATCGGATTGAGGGACAGCAGGTGCTATTGTCCCAGAATGCAGAGAAAAATGAAGAGGCGCCCGGGGCCTGGGGGGCCGGATGATGGAGGGGATGCCAGAGAGGGAAGATGCACGGGTGAGTCCCTGATGCCTCGAATGACCACGGCCGGCTGAGGGGCTGGTGGCAAAATCCGCTGTGGCAGAAGCTTTAAAAACAGGCACCACGTTAAAGCCAAGAATTTCACTTCTGGTACCTTATCTTAAAGAACTGATCGGGAAGAGCACAAGAATGCATTTATAAGGATGTTTATAACCGATACCTGTCCTAATGAAAGATCAGAAACTTCCCAAATGCTGGGCAATAGGGGAGAGGCTCAGTTAGTTACTGCGTCTCCATAGAAGGCAAGAGTATGTAACTCTTTAAAATATTCTGTACACGGGAACATGTTCCTATTGT